TAACGGATCCCGTTGGGGAATATTTATGGAATATCCATCATATCCGTGGCTAAAAATTAATGGATATTGTAGACAGTCATAAGATCTTTAAAGTTCACTTTGCTATTATGACTCTCAATAACAATGTCCCGACTTGAAAATTGTTGATCAACTAATACCAAACCCACTTCATTTGTTTGAAGTGCATTATAACGACCTCTATGAGCATTTGCTGGCTTTTTATCAGCGTTAATGACCATTTTGAAGTCTTTTCAATCTTTTGGGTCACCAATAACTATAAACTAATGTCTACAGATATTAAAACCGTATTAAAGCTCATTTTATATTTTTAAGGAAGCGTACGGAAATGCAAGGCAGAGAGAGAGGGAGGGAGATGGAATCATTTGTTGACAATTTGTATGAAAATGCAGAGAGAGATAGCAATATGCAGGCAGAAAACGTATGATGCTTATGGAGACACTTAAATTCGATAAAAGATCGACTTTTTGCTTAATTTCTTTGTTTAGAAGATAGCTAGAGCTTTGGTGAAACCATTAAATGAATCGTTAAAGCTTAAGGAAAAACTTTACCGAAGGAATTTTTGATACTCAGTTTGAAGATATTTTTGGCTAAATTGTAATTTTAGAACGGGTGTTAAAAATAGTAAAAAGCCTTAAATCTAAGCGGTCAAATTTTTTAAACATTTATAATGTCTTAAACTATTTTTGGGCGAAAACGGATTCGATTGCTAAAACGGTTTAGCGTCCAGAATTTTTGAAAGGAAAATTGACCTTTTTTCCAATTGCAATCGATTGGGGCCACTTGGGGAGCCCCAGTTTTATTACTGATAGCTTTATATATAGAGATGATGACTGCCCCCCTGCCCTTTTCCCAAAGCCCAGCGGCTTGAACGCTTTGACGGTTTATTCGTGTGTGTTGCTTGTATAATTTAATTTTAATTTTTTGTTAATTTATTGTTAAGTTTAATTTAGTTTTAAGTTTTTAATTTTAAGTTCTAAAAATAAATCAAGATCAGCCGCCGCACAAATATTGTACTACACAGAGTCAGAGAGAGAGAGATAGAGAGAGAGAGACAGTGCGAGAGAATGCATTCGGTGTTCAATGCTTGTGTATAATTTGTTGGAATTATTATTCCTACTTTAGGCTAATGTAACTTTTTTTAGAATTGACCTAGAGCTTCAGTAAAACCACCATATGAATCCTTAAAGTATCAGGATTCCCTCGATAAATTTTCATATTGCTACTTGACTTAGGTCAGTGTTTTTTTGCCGTTAGGAAAAAATGAGGCAGATTCTTAGATTTTCAAAAATCGATAAAAAAATAGTAAACATTTAAATATCGAATATTAAATTAAATAGAATCTTTATTATGTAGAGTTCTAAATTTTGGCCAAAAATCGCATCGATTGATTAACGCGTTTAGCGTCCAGATTTTTTTTATAGAAATGGGGCGTTTTTTGCCACTGGAAGAAAATGGGGGCATGTTTGTGGCCAAAATAAATCTTAGCAAATCAGTTTAGTGTTATAAGAATTGAATGGTACAAAATTTTAATAGGGTCATTTAATTAGTTTAGGCTGTGCGTTGATTCTTAGTTTTCAATGAACAGTTTTATATATAGAGATGACTGCCCCCCTGCCCTTTTTCCAAAGCCCAGCGGCTTGAACGCTTTGACGGGGTTTATTCGTGTGTGTTGCTGGTATAATTTAATTTTAATTTATTGTTAAGTTTTAAGTTTTTAATTTTAAGTTTTAAAAAGAAATCAAGATCAGCCGCCGCACAATTATTGTACTACACAGAGTCAGAGAGAGAGAGAGAGAGAGAGTGAGACAGTGCGAGAGAATGCATTCGGTGTTCAATGCTTGTGTATAATTTGTTGGAATTATTATTCCTACTTTAGGCTAATGTAACTTTTTTTAGAATTGACCTAGAGCTTCAGTAAAACCACCATATGAATCCTTAAAGTATCAGGATTCCCTCGATAAATTTTCATATTGCTAATTGACTTAGATCAGTGTTTTTTTGCCGTTTGGAAAAAATGAGGAAGATTCTTAGATTTTCAAAGATCGATAAAAAAAATAGTAAACATTAAAATATCGAATATTAAATTAAATAGAATCTTTATTATGTAGAGGACTAAATTTTGGCCAAAAATCGCATCGATTGATTCACGCGTTTAGCGTCCAGAATTTTTTATAGAAATTGGGGGTTTTTTGCCACTGAAAGAAAATGGGGGCATGTTTGTGGCCAAAATAAATCTTAGCAAATCAGTTTAGTGTTATAAGAATTGAATGGTACAAAATTTTAATAGGGTCATTTAATTAGTTTAGGCTGTGCGTTGATTATTAGTTTTCAATGAACAGTTTTATATATAGAGATAAGCGAAGCATTTTCGATGTGCGTATTTAGGATTTCTAATCGACATTCTAATTCAACCGTATTTAAAGAGAATCGACCCTCATTTAAATATCTTTGCGTTCGCTCTATACTCCTCATATATCCATCTCGTTGGTTTTTCAACTCTTCGATTTCCTGATTGTTACTTTCCGATTTTGGCATTTTTTTTTTTTTTTGTTATCGAAGATTTTTAAATTTAATTTAATTTATTTTATTTTTTTTTTTTTTTTAATTATGTAAGTGTGTACAAAAAAATTTTGTTTTTAAATTTATTAAATTTAAATAATAATAACCAACGAGAGGAATAAGCTGAACGCAAGCAGTGTAGGGGAGTTATTTAAAATGAATTAAGGAATTAATTTAAGGAATCCTAAATTATTTAATAATTCAATATAATATGCCGAGCGCACGTAGTGTAGGGGAGCACACGCCAAACTCAAACACCAAAAAACGAACAAACGTTTGGGCAGCGGCAACGCTTGCACCGTTCCAGCGATCGAAAACGAAAACGACGAAAGAGAACTCGAAAGAACGGGCTGCGTTGTCTGTGTGTGTGTGTATGTGTGTCCGGCTGGCGGTGCTCAACGCAATGCTAACGGAGGATGATGCACTGACCGATAACTAAGGGCAACGAATATATAAACCTGACGCTTAAAAGCGCGGGAAATGGCGAAAAGCGAGGGAAATTTGAAGAAAATGCGCGGCAGAAAATTTGCCGGGGACTTAATTCTCGAATTATAACTTTTCACAAGTCTCAACTTTTGCCTTTTTAATTTTTTGCACAGCTATAATTGGTGTTCACTACGACGAGAAATGGGGGAATTTTATTTTTTAAAAAAACCAGGATGCCGACAAATATTTATTTTATTTTGGTCCAAAGCGATTCACTTACTTATGTATGAATAATTCGAAATATGTAAATATGTATGGATGTATATATCAGAATTATATTTGTTAGTACATGCAAGTTTTATTTATTTCTTGGTTAGAATGCTCGCTATCTACCGAATTTTTCACACGAATGCAAAAAGTTGAAAGATGGGCCAAAACACAATTAAAACGCCACAGATTAGCTTTCAACTTTTCGCACTCTATACCTGCTTGGCCAATTTTGGGCTTGAGACTTCCTTTTTTTTCCATTTTCACAGCAGCAAGAGGGAGGGTTCAGCAGACTTCCAACGCAGTTCCAAAGAAAACGAAAACTTTGTTGCCGTACCGACGCGAGTTTTTGTTTTTTATTTTTTGTTAAAATTAAAATCGCGAAAACTCCAAATATCACGTCGGGGTCACCATGAAAAATCTTAATACTCTTTTGTATTAACAAATACGTGATTTGGTGGATCTCGGACGATTTTAATACCGACAAAGAGAATGACGAAAGGGAGTGCGGTTTGGATCGAGTTCGATATAACACTGGCTTTTAATTTCAATATAAAAATGCTTAAGCCTAACTTAACGACGGGGGCGAGAGACGGGGCGAATTCGCGAGAGCGATTAGATATTTATTGCGCTCCCGCTCCCGCCTTACACTATTCAACAAATTTTAAAACACGCAAAGTGCGCGAACATACAGATTAAAAAAAGGAAAAAATAGCTGACCTACAACCAGAACAGATAGCAAACCTAACATTTCAAACTAGGCGACATAGTTTATGTGAAGATCGACAAGACTAACTCACTCTCAGACTTATAAGATTAACATCGGACCTTGATTATTTCGATTCACAACTTATTTCATTCGAGATCGTATTATCTTCAAAACTAGAAGGAGCGTTCGAAATGTTCATACAATACATGTTAAACCTATTTACCGAAACTAAATGCTCTTCTCAACCTTCGAAACCGAAATATAAGGTTTCAACAAAAAACAGAAATACTGCTGAAGGGTAATCACTTTTCCAACTAACGAAAGTAAAATCACTACAGATGGTCTAGGAACTAAACACAAACAACACACACATACATTCAACTGAGACTAGGCAAACACCTGATAATTTTAAACTAGATGTGTTTAAATTCCTTAAAATATTGGTACATTTTTGTTTTTAATTTAAATAAATTTTTTTTTAAAATAATATATATTCGGTTTATAAAGATTTTCATTCGACGGTACGAAACCTGTACTGAAATCGAAACCGAAATGGAATTTGGATGGATTTTCTCCATATATCACATAGGAATGAAAACTTGTGCTCAAAAGCATTAAAAACGGCAATTAAACTTTACTGTTAAGTCGAAATATCGGAGTATAGTCGTATATATAAAACATCGAAATTTTAATTTTTTTAATCGTCCAATCCAGGCCATTCCTGCAATAAAATGTTTATGGAAAAGTTTTATACAGATAGTTTTCATATAAGGTATATTATTGGATAGAAATTTTCCTGCACTGCATTGTACACATTTTCCAGAACCCCCTGAAAGGTTATAACAATGAGAAACCTGACTATTAGATACCCGTTATTCGTTGCAGTGGGCGTGACCAACTTCAATGTTTTCAAGTTAATATACATTTTTTGAGGTATCAAGAGCAATGCGGTCTTTATTTAAGCAAGTAACTAACATCTATTCTCTGTTCCATATTTTCTTTCTATATATATTTTTAGCAAGTGCTCATACTGGCGATCAAACGGTTGACGAATATCCGGACATAAGTGGCATATGTACAGCTAGAGTAAGACATGGTGCAAAATAAATTTCGTTGGTGTGTGTAAAACAAGACATTTATTTCAGGAAGCCATGCGAAAAATGACAGAAGAAGATAAACAAAAAATTGCTCAACAGGTTGAGTTGTTCCGTAGGGAGAAACTTACCTTTGACTCGGAAGTTGCGAAATGGGATGACACTGGAAATGACATTATTTTTCTTGCCAAACATATGTGTATGATTATGATGGAAATGACCGACTTTACAAGGTAAGATCTCTATTCAAAGTATGCCCACATATTCTTTTGCGCCTCCAAATTGTTAGGGTATCAAGACTGAAAAGTAGCAAAAGACAAAATATTCTTGCCGCATCGAATTGAAATAAACGCACACATGCACCCCTGTATGAGAATGCATGAACACCATACATACAAAATTATTCATATGATGCATTCTTAATACTCATAAAAAATCCCAACTTCCTAACTTTAAAAACACCAAAGTTATGGTATTTCCGATCGTTCAGTTATATGGCAGCTATAGGATATAGTCGGCCGATTCCGGCCGTTCCGACTTAAATACTGCGTGCAAAGGAACAAGGGGGGTGTGCAAAGTTTTAATTTGGTATCTTTAAAACTGAGAGACTAGTTTGCGTAGAAACAGACAGACGGACAGACAGACGGACATGCTTATATCAACTCAGGATGCGATCCTGATCAAGAATATATATACTTTATAGGGTCGGAGATGTATCCTTCACTGCGTTGCACACTATTGACCAAAATTATAATACCCTCTGGAAGGGTATATAAAAAAAAAAAAAACAGTGATGGCCAAACATTTCACTATCTGAAATCCTACTTGTCTGGCGAAGCGCTCACCATGGTCAAACATATTCCCGATATTAATGAAAATTAAAAGTAAGAAAAACGATTCAATAAACCATCTCTAATTTTTCGATCGTTCTAATAACGCCCCCTAGTACCTAGAACTGCAGACAAAGTAGTGCGTAGGTTGCGAGCACTTTAATGCGAGCAAAGAGATCCCTGTCTAATTTTCACATTATTATCAAAGTTGGATGCCGAAGCTCGTCAATCACGAGCCCAGTGTACAGACTCTGAAAAGATCAGTGTGACTTTCGGGTGACGTGAGCCCTGTCGAAAACAACTACACTAATGATACCCTGGGAAATATTTCGGTTGCGGGCTCGCAAACCCTATTGCCAACCATCCTCGCAGGCGTCATTGTGAAGAAAGCTCCTTCACAATAGCATTGACATCAAAATCATTTGTTCAGCAGATAGGCTTGCGCGTACCAGCTTCCTAACTTAACAAACACCAATGTTATGGCATTTCCGATCAATCAGTTATATGGCAGCTATAGGATATAGTCGGCCGATTCCGGCCGTTCCGACATATATACTGCGTGCAAAGGAAAGAAGGGTGTGTGCAAAGTTTCAATTCGATAGCTTTAAAACTGAGAGACTAGTTTGCGTAGAAACAGACAGACGGACAGACGGACAGACGGACAGACAGACGGACAGACAGACGGACAGACGGACAGATAGACAGACAGACAGACAGACAGACAGACAGACAGACAGACAGACAGACAGACAGACAGACAAGAGTTTTTATACCCTTGCAGAGGGTATTCTAATTTTGGTCAAAAGTGTGCAACGCAGTGAAGGATACATCTCCGACCCTATAAAGTATATATATTCTTGATCAGGATCGCATCCTGAGTTGATATAAGCATGTCCGTCCGTCTGTCCGTCTGTCTGTTTCTACGCGAACTAGTCTCTCAGTTTTAAAGATACCAAATTAAAACTTTGCACACCCCCCTTGTTCCTTTGCACGCAGTATTTAAGTCGGAACGGCCGGGATCGGCCGACTATATCCTATAGCTGCCATATAACTGAACGATCGGAAATGGCATAACTTTGGTGTTTGTAAAGTTAGGAAGTTGTGATTTTTATGAGTATTAAGAATGCATTATATGAATAATTTTGGAGAATATAATTGACAGAATGTTCTGCAAGGGTATATCAACTTGGCTCCGCCTGAAGTTAGCTTTCCTTTCTTGTTATATATCAAATATTCCTTGAGTAATCCAATATCTACAATTATTGGAAAAGGTCAATACCAACCAAATCTGTTGTTATTGGATCTCTCTGGTTCTTCATTGATCTTCTGGTCGCAATTTATTTTTGCTTTATTGTCCCTTGGATTTTTGTATGAGCTAAGCTTACGCTTGATCTGAATGTAGCTATCCATTTCAGAATTTGTTTTATTTGCAATCGCTGCAGTCGTTGACATCGCTATATTGTCAGCTTCTGTAGTTCTTGCTGTTGGATTTGTAGCGGTTGCAGGAATTGTAGCACTGCTCGTTGTTGGTGCGTAATTTGTTGAAGTCAGGGGAGAGGTGGTTACACTGCGTACTCCATGACGTGGGAGTGGTGAGCAAGACCGTGCCCTTTGGCTATCAACGGCCAATAGAGCCGAGTTGCTCTTTAACGATGATTTTTTCACTGCGGTCTCCCGGGTTGAGAAGTAAGAGTATAAGTTTCATTGGTTTACTGAGCTTTTACGCTCATGCTTTTGTTCGTCGCTCATTGAGCTGTTTTTAATTAAAATAACTTTGCATTTAATTATCATTGGGTTTAGCTAAGCGACGGAGGCTGAGCCTGTAAAAATTGAAATGTAGCTGCAGGTGATTGTTCTTTATGTTTTTATTTAGTTCCAGGTGTTATACATCTACCAAATGTTTAAAATATTTAAATTCATTCACCCTTTATGGGGAATACAAATATTTGATCGTGCTTGTTTCACGATAACGTCTGTGAAGATGGTTGGCAATAGTGTTTGTATGATTAGTGTAATTGTTTTTCTTGCTATTTTCATTAATATCGGGAATATGTTTGACCATTGTGAGAGCTTCGCCAGACAAGTAGGATTTCAAATAGTGAAATGTTTGGCAACCAGTGTTGGGGTTACGATGCAGGAATGACTACATATCACCGTTCACAAATAATAATAATAATTTAAAGGGCCTTTAAGAACAAAAAGCAAAAAAGCAAACCAATGTTGATATAAATACGAATATATTATTTATATTCAAAGCGGTATTTTTACAATTAAATTATAAGGCTTCTTAAAGTTTTTCTTTTTTTAATTTTATGTCGATTATGTATTTTGGTTTCATCTTAAACAACATTATTTTTAACACCCTTGTCTTTCATATTATATAAAGTAAACAATATTAGCAAATCCCTAGATCGACTCTCCTGGTGATGCTGATCAAGAATATATATACTATATAGGGTCACAAATTTCTCGTTCACTGCGTTGCAAACTTTTTACTGAGATTATAATACCCTCTACAAGGGTATAAAAATATAAATATATAAAGACTATTTCCGAATTACTTAAAGCCAAAAGGAACTTTAACTCTCTTTAAGGGGGTATATACCTTACCGAAAAAAATAGGAAAGTTTTGATTTTTTTATGTATGTAACTATTGTCTTTATTAAATGAATGATTATATTTTCTGAATATTTAGATTGTTGACAATGTTTATGCCAAATATTTTGAAAAAATATTTAATAGTTTTAAAGGTGTGGCTGTTTCCCTTAAACGCCTTTTTTTAAAGAGCCTTGCGGTGATAATTCCCTAGGACGAACGGGTCAACTGAAGCCGAAAAAATAAAAATATTTCATTAATTTAAAGAAATATCCTGTATTTGAACGAACGTTAAAAAATTTTTTTTTTTTTGTGCATACGGGAACGTTTTATGCAAAAAATGTCGTTTTTGGATGCTAAAATTCTTACAAAACTATCTATTTCAGCGAAATAAAAATTTTTACATGAAAAAACGATCGTTCAAGTACTAATAAAATTCATTACGAACATTTAAAAAAAAAATTTGAAGAAAATCGGTTCAGTAGTTTTTCGCCAATCCATATCACCGCAAAGTCATTTTTAAAAAAACTCCATTTCGAGATATTCGCGTTTAAAGTTTCAAGTTTGGGTTTGGGCGGGGACGAGGCGAGCGGCTAGGAGCGCTGTAACTTTTTTCTACTGCTCAAATCTCTATGAAAATTTGTTTTAAAGAAGTTGTTCTTTAAGATAAAGCAAAAAAAAAATTTTCTATTTTTAAAAAATGAGAAAGGTATATACCCCCTTAAGGAGAAATATTCTTTAGCACACTAAATATAACATTCTTCATGAAAATATTTTCCCAATTCAACTCTCTATTTTGATATACTTATTTTGAAATGTGTAATTTCAGAGGACGGGGACCTTTAAAAACTACTATGGATGTTATCAACGCAGCTAAAAAAATTTCAGAAGCTGGTACAAAACTGGATAAACTAACCAGAGAAATAGCAGAACAATGCCCAGAAAGCAGCACAAAAAAGGACCTATTAGCATATTTGCAACGTATTGCCCTTTATTGTCATCAAATCCAAATAACTTCAAAAGTAAAAGCTGACGTTCAAAACATAAGTGGTGAACTTATAGTTTCTGGGGTAAGGATCTACTTTTAAAATTATTTTAATTGTTTCAATCAAACAACAAATTTTTTTAAAGCTGGATAGCGCAACATCGTTGATTCAAGCTGCTAAAAATTTAATGAATGCGGTTGTACTAACAGTAAAATACTCATATGTGGCATCTACAAAATATACTAGACAAGGAACAGTATCTGTAAGTTTTACCTCTTAATATTGAGTCAAAGGCATTAAATGAATTTAAATTTACGTTATAGTCTCCAATTGTGGTGTGGAAAATGAAAGCTCCGGAGAAGAAACCTTTGGTCAGGCCGGAAAAACCAGAAGAAGTTCGAGCTAAAGTTCGTAAGGGTTCTCAAAAAAAAGTTCAGAACCCCATACATGCATTGTCGGAATTCCAAAGTCCCGCTGACGCTGTTTAAAAGTATTTGTCAATATCTATTTATTACGGTATAAATCGTAGCACAGTAATATAGCTCAGTATTGTGTTTTGTTTTTGTGTTCGAAAGCAGCTATTTATCCCTAGCTATTTTATTAATGAAAACATTCATAAATTTACATTATAACAGAATAATAAAAAATATTAACATTCTTTTGATAGTGTATTTTGGTACGAAGCCTCTAAAAATTAACAACAGTTGTTAAAATATATAAAAACTAACTGTTTCCAGATCACGTGCAAGTCGCGAGAAATTGCTGGCGCTGGTGATACCGGCCGAATTACGAAATAAAAATGGATTCCAATGGTATACAAAAGTCCTTTTCAAATAGTTAATTCGGTGCAAAATCGGTAATTTTTTAAGAATTTTTTATTGGCGATACGGATAGTCTCAGCTCAATTTTGGTTTTTGCATGTGATTGGGCAACATTTAAATAACATGTGTGAATTTTTTCATCCAAAAATATTAAAAATTGCGTGAGATACAGACAATCTCCGGCGGCGCCCCGAACAAAACACGTTTTGCGGTGTACACGATAACTGGTCACAGAATCATCTGATTTGAAAAAATCAAATTGCATTAGTTAAAGGACAAGATTCCTCAGGTAACGCTGTCGAGTTTTTATTTTTTTCGATTTTTTAAGGCACTAAAAAGTGAAAAATCCCAATTTTCGACCAAAACGTCGAGATATTTATTGCTCTAAAAATAATAAACTTAAAAAAAAACTCGACAGCGTTACCTGAGGAATTTAGTAGAGAAATACTGTGCAAAATCTCAAAACGATCCGTCCGATAGATTTTGCAGGATCGTGTACACCGACTTTGAAATGGCCACTTTTCAGGTGAGCGTTTTAAAGTTTTGGACACCCAAAAATCGAATACAAAACGAGGTAACTTACCTGCGTTCAACTGCCCATAACTTAAGAAGTTTTACTCGGATCGATCTAAAATTTTAACACAATAAAAAATGTAAATACACCCCATTCGATGTGTGCCAGGGTTATCGCCTGTCGAGGCGGACGCCGAGGTATGCTACTTCTTTGGCTTGGGATATCTGTGTACCATTCAAAGAAAGCGGAGGGCATGTTTGTCTATTAAGAGTTACCGGTACGTATTAACACTTTAGTTCTTTTATTTTGATACGCCAGTCAGATAGCCACCTCTCCACTAAACCAAGATGATCAGTATCGTCGGTAAAAGTGGACGTTGTTAGTATCTCGTTCGTAGGGATATCCGTAGCATATAGGATAAATAGGGTAGGCCCAAGTGCGCTTCCTTGAGGAACTCCAGTCTCAATACGATGTGGCTGCTTTGCAACTCACTGAAAATACTCTATTGTAGAGAAACGATTCGGGGAGCTTGTGGGTGTAGATAGGAAAAGGCATTTGGATTTTATGCATGAGTTCATGAAGACAGACTCGGTCGAAGGCTGTAGATGCATCGAGGTATATAGCGCTAAAATATTCCCGTTGCTTAAAAACTAAGCGTTTTTCTGATGTTATTCTGTAATCTTGCTTCATTGTTCCATGGTTTCTTCAAAAGCGAAATACATACGACAATGCCAGTACTCCTGAAATCCAAGGAGCTTTTCCTTCGTTTGCTTGTATGCAACAACAACTTCCTAACTTTAAAAACACCAAAGTTATGGTATGATATAGTCGTCCGATCGCCTCCGTTCCGACTTATATACTGCGTGCAAAGGAACGCTGGGTGTGTGCAAAGCTTTAATTCGATATCTTTAAAACTGAGGGACTAGTTTGAAACAGTTGGAAACAGACAGACGGTCAGACAGCCGGAAAGACGGACATGCTTATATCAACTCAGGACGCGATCCTGATCAAGAATATATACTTTATAGGGTCGGAGATGTCTCCTTCACTGCGTTGCACACTTTTGACCAAAATTATAATACCCTCTGCAAGGGTATAAAAACTCTTGGAGTTCGGTTGCACCCAGGTAATTTTTTCCTCTGAATCAGCAAGCGATGTGTGGGCACTACGATCGGCTGTTTTGATAAACATCACATCACGGCCTAGATTCCGTTTCTTTCCAGGCAGAACTACATTTTCGTAATTTGAGCTTTGTATAAGCGCACAATCGGCTCGTTCACATAGGCATCGCGGGATGACGCACGTCATGCGGCTTAAAACTCGAACAGCCAGAAATGGAGAGGGCGCTTGCCATAGGTGACTGTCAAAACCGGAAAATGAAAAATCTGCTCATAAATTGGTGGGGGATTTGGAAACTTGACTCCGATATCAGAACTTAACACATATTGGTGAGGACAAAAACGTAGGCAAACTCCGAGCAGGTCACCCTGAATCGGTGGTCCAACATTAAGTCGGTAGTTAAGCGAATTCCAGCACATTCTTTTTCAGATGGTAGTCAGTCTATACAACTTGGTGTCACCGTTATAGATCCCAGAGTGCAGAACGTGAAATCGGCTAGTGGAAGCGTACGCGCAGGCCTATCTGCTGAACAAATGGTTTTGATGTCAGTGCTATTGTGAAGGAGCTTTCTTCACAATGACGCCTGCGAGCCCGCGACCGAAATATTTCCCAGGGTATCATTAGTGTAGTTGTTTTCGACAGGGCTCACGTGACCCGAAAGACACACTGAACTTTTCAGAGTCTGTACACTGGGCTCGTGATTGACGAGCTTCGGCATCCAACTTTGGTAATAATGTGAAACTGAATCCACATGGTTTCTATCAGAAGGGTTCAGGGTTTGATGCGGAACTAGTACATACAATGTTATCAGGGACTTCAGCCTAGGACCGCTGTTGAACGACACTCGGCATTGCTATCGATTTTAAGGATTACGATACAGGAATAAATAATAATAATAATTTAAATGGCCTTCTTTTTGGTTCACTTAATGAACATTAAGAAAAATGAAGTTGATGTTGACAAACAATTGTTGATATAAAAACGTTTTGTTAATACCCTAATCGCAAAATCGTATTAGTGAACCCTGCTAGTTATTGATTATTCATATATAATAATATAAATTATAAAATATAGATTCCGTGAGTATCGAATAACATCTGAGAAATTCGAATCTGTGACAAGTTTTTGGAAGACAAAACGTGAACATGCTGAAATAATTATATTGGGGACCAAAACATTATAAGTTATTTAATAAAATTTAAAAAAACCTAAAATTGTACATTTTTTTAAATTAAAATAATTATATTGAAGTTATTTAGTAAATTGCATAATCATATGTTTTAATTTTTTGTTCAAAATAATATTAATAATTTATCTAATATTTTATTTCTTACTGATACATAAGCTTGTGATTGACAAGTTTTGGTTTCTTGTGACGTTATTAAATTAAAAACATCAATATTTAGGTATTTATAAAATAAATATCGCGAATTAGTTTTTAGTTTTTTTTTGAATAAAATAATAATCATTCAATAAACAACAACATTTTTTTAGCTAAGACGATCAGAAGCAAATAAAACAATTTTTTTTTTCAATGGAAGAAGAAATGAAAAAATAAAAATAACCATTATTTGTGTCCCTGATTGTTGTTTTGAATTGTATGTATCACTCTTTTTTATTCAACATAATCAATAAAAAAATTGGACTTGGTTTTTAATATTGGAATATTTAAAAATCGTTATTTTTATTTCTATTCAAAGCCGAATTTGTACAATTAAATTAAAAGGTTTCTTAAAGTTAATTTTTGTTAATTTTATATCGATTTTGTATTTTGGTTTCATTTTAAACAACATCCTTTTTAACACCCTTCTCTTTAATATTATATAAAGTAAAAAAGTTAGGTATATAATCTAAAAAAAAATTAGTTAAAAAATTTAGCTGACCATTACATAAATATAATTTTTTTTAATTTGTTATCTTACAACGTGAGCTTGAACCAATTATAACTAAATTTTATCTGCAAGGTATTGTTTTTTCGTCATGTTACATTTTCATTAAAAACCTGTTTCAGGATTTATTAAAAGAAAACACTTTAAAACAAAATTCAACAGGTTTCTAAAAACCATTGCTTAATTAGCTTTAACGTTAAAAGCATATTGAACAAGAAAGGAAGCAAATCTCGGCAAGCCGAAATTTATATACCCTGGCAGTTATTTCAAATCGACTACATCTTGATTTTTGCCTGAAATCGCCTGCCAATAATATCATCAAGCCGCCAAATATGTTATTTCGCCGAAGATCCTTCAGTGTGAAGTTAAGTGCTTCAAATGATTTCTTATTTGCCATTGTGCACTCATCCCAAACAATGAGCTTGCATTGCATCAACAATTTTCCCATTGTGTTTAAATTGAGTGACAACTTAAGCGCAGAATATGCAGTACGACCGCCATCTAGAAGAGTCATCACACATCTTGATCGAATACTGGCCAAAATCAATGACATAACAAATGTTTTCCATGTTGCTCCAGGTGCGCCAAGGAAGAATACTTGCTTTTGCTGTTCATTTAGCAATGGCACATTATTTCGAACGAATTCCTGCAAAGTATCAACATTGTATTGCATCTCTCGATTTAATTCTTGGTTGAGTGCATCGTGCATCGATCGATTTGGTACAATCATTCCTACTTCAATCAGTAGCTTGTTTGCAATAGTCAAGCATTGATCCTCAATCAGAAGCAATTCTTATTTGGATGTAAGGATTATGCGTTTGAATAATCAAGATATCTTCACATATGTGGTCTTTGTATTTGTTCCATAACTGAATTCGTTGTGAAGGAAAATATGTGGTGATGATAATTGCGAACAGCGTTCGTATTTGGTGTAACAATGTATCACGCACCGGCGTCATCTACTTAAAATATTGGCTTTTAGTAAATGCATGATTTTTCCTCTTTTCTGTTGAAATTTTTCCGATTTTCGAAGTTAGAGCCAGCAGTAGGAGCTCATATCGTCCGAATTAGAAAATCCAAAAATTGAATAAAAAAAAAACTCAACGTAGTTACTATGAGCAACATCTTAACTAATAAACATTTTTTTTTGTTTTTTCTGTAACGAGTTATGCTGTTCACCGCAAAAACTTTTTCTTGGAGGCGCCTACGGGGCTTGGCTGCGAACGGCTCATTTAATTTTTTCGATGAAAATTTGTGAAAACATAGCATAAATGTTGTACTTTGATATGCCTATAAAATAATTGATCTGACATTA